TGGGATAGCCATATTGAAGGGTATCAATCAGGGAGGGAATCGTTTCAGAATAACATCCCTAATCTGGTTCCCTGATGTGGGATAGCCATATTGAAGGGTATCAATCAGGGAGGGAATCGTTTCAGATAAACATCCCTAATTTGGTTCCCTGATGTGGGATAGCCATATTGAAGGGTATCAATCAGGGAGGGAATCGTTTCAGATAAACATCCCTAATTTGGTTCCCTGATGTGGGATAGCCATATTGAAGGGTATCAATCAGGGAGGGAATCGTTTCAGATAAACATCCCTAATTTGGTTGTCTGATGTGGGATAGCCATATTGAAGGGTATCAATCAGGGAGGGAATCGTTTCAGATAAACATCCCTAATTTGGTTGTCTGATGTGGGATAGCCATATTGAAGGGTATCAATCAGGGTGGGAATTGTTTCAGATAAACACCCCTAATTTGGGTCCCTGATGTGGGATAGCCATATTGAAGTGTATCAATCCGGGAGGGAATCGTTTCAGATAAACATCCCAAATTTGGTACCCTGATGTGGAGTAGCCATATTTAAGGATCCCTAATGAGGTAGCTTCATCTTACAAGGTATCCTTAAATATGGCAATACCACATAGGGGAACCAAATTACGGCACCGTCTAGCAGAGATAGATTTTCCCAATTGACTGATTTAATGAAGAATAAATTATACACTAATCCAAGCACCATAACAACTTCTTGATCTGAGGAAAGATCTGACTTCCATTCTGGGGTAGAGAAGGAATTTTCTTCTAATTTGTTGGAAATAACTTAAAGGGACACTATAAGCACCCAGACCAAGACCAGTAGCTGGTCCAGCACGGCCCTGCTGCTAGCCGGCCAAGTGACTGCCAGCCATAGGCTACAGAGCGGCCCCGTTGCCTGGATACAGGGAGGGTGAAGAGGAGTTTCCCCGCTCCCTGCCTGCAGGCACTATCTCAGCCAATAGGAATGCAGCAGGTATGAGTTGTGTTGGAGTGGGAGGAGCTAGCTCCGACTCCTCCTGCTCACAGGGCAGCGTGCTGCAGACAGTGCGAGGATGGGCTGCAGGTGTCGGGACAGAGAGCAGCTCAGAGTCAGAGCCAGGCGGCCTAAGGACAGGTACAATTGTTTGCAATAAAGAGTAAAATGCACACAAAAAAAATTTAAAAAATGCACACTAAAAAATAAATAAAAAAATGCACAATAATAAAATGCACACTAATAAATGCACACTAAAAAATGCATACTAAAAAAGGGGGGATACTTCCTGCAGGGGGCTCCGGGACGGCATAGTACCATCCTGGAAGTAATTTGTCACTCTGAAAGGTATGACAACTTAACTGGGTCCCCTGGGCAGCTGTGCTGTATCAGCTCTTCTCATGCAGGAGAAGCCGGATGCCACCTTTGAGATCAGCAAGTCCAATATAGGACGGTACTCAGTGGCTGAGAGTATCTCAGGTAATGAGATTGGCCCTGCATTGACTCACGGTGCTAACTGTATTCCGCTGGAAATACAGGTGACCGGTGGGATCCAGGTAAATCATCAAACTGACAGTTTATCTGGGAGGATGCACTCACAGCACCATAACAACAAGAGTGGTGCAATTGTTTGCAATAAAACCCAAGAGTAAAAAAGGCGGGGGAATATTTCGTGCAGGGGCTACGGGACGGCATCGTACAGGCAGGTACAATTGTTTGCAAAAAAAGAGTAAAATGCACACTATAAAAGGGGGGATACTTCCTGCAGGGGCTTCGGGGCGACCTGATACTGGCAGGTACAGTCAGGGATTACTAAACATATTATGGTCCCCGAGTTGTCCAGAGCAATCAGCGATTAATCCCCGAGTTTGCAACACGTTAATTTCTCTCCTTCCAGTGACATTCAGCCATATAACCACAAACTTACTGTCAGGCTGGATGGGCATAATGAGAGCAGTCATTTATAATCATACACACTGCGAAAATCTAGCCATCACTATTATACCTTCTTTCTGAGTTATATGCATATTACTGTGCGTTTTATTGACGTAGAGCTCTGTGATACAACATACACACCACTGCTGTACAGTGAATTTTATTGGTGTGGAGCTCTGTGATACACCATACCCACCGCTGCTGTACAGTGAATTTTATTGATGTGGAGCTCTGCGATACATTATACACACAGTCGCTGTACAGTGAATTTTATTGGTGTGGAGCTCTGTGATACACCATACCCACCGCTGCTGTACAGTGAGTTTTATTGACGTAGAGCTCTGTGATACACCATACACACCGCTGCTGTACAGTGAGTTTTATTGACGTGGAGCTCTGTGATACAACATACACACCGCTGCAGTACAGTGAATTTTATTGATGTGGAGCTCTGCGATACACCATACACACCGCCGCTGTACAGTGAGTTTGATTGATGTGGATTTAATTGATGTGGAGCTCTGCGATACACCATACACACCGCCGCTGTACAGTGAGTTTGATTGATGTGGAGCTCTGCGATACACCATGCACATCGCTGCTGTACAGTGAATTTTATTGATGTGGAGCTCTGTGATACACCATACACACCGCTGCTGTACAGTGAGTTTTATTGATGTGGAGCTCTGTGATACACCATGCACACCGCTGCTGTACAGTGAATTTTATTGATGTGGAGCTCTGTGATACACACCGCTGCTGTACAGTGAGTTTTATTGATGTGGAGCTCTGTGATACACCATGTACACCGCTGCTGTACAGTGAATTTTATTGATGTGGAGCTCTGTGATACACCATGCACACCACTGCTGTACAGTGAATTTTATTGATGTGGAGCTCTGTGATACACCATACACACCGCCGCTGTACACTAAATTTTATTGATGTGGAGCTCTGTGATACACCATACACACCGCCGTTGTACAGTGAATTTTATTGATGTGGAGCTCTGTGATACACCATACACACCGCCACTGTACAGTGAATTTTATTGATGTGGAGCTCTGTGATACACCATACACACCACTGCTGTACAGTGAATTTTATTGATGTCGCGCTCTGCGATACACCATACACACACTGCTGCTGTACAGTGAATTTTATTGATGTGGAGCTCTGTGATACACCATACACACCGCCTGTTTCTGTTCAAACAACAAATTAAAACGGGTTGGGAAATCGCCTGTCTAGAAAAATATTTGAGTAAAGACCTGATACCAAGAGGCCTTAGAGTACAGAACATCCCTGCCTCCCATATTGCAGAATCAGAGTGTATTACTGAATGAGATGAAGCAGCTGAAACATGCTCTTGCAAATTTATGGATATACTGTGTAAATTCAAAGAAAAAAAAACGATTAGAGAAGGTAAATAAGGAAGTAGAGGAAGAAGTGGAAAAGATCCAGATTCATAAAGAGGAGCCACATTTTGGACAGTTGGAAATCAGACTTACGAACCAGTTAGATAGATTCCAAACAGTGATCAAAACACGCAAACACACTAAAGATTTTAAAACAGAGAACGTATATCATAAACAAAAAAAAGAGTAGGGGAGTGGACTTTGATCAATTTTCAACCTCCAAATACGATACAAGCGGCTCTGAATCAGATGTAAACATAGATGGTCCATCTACTTCCTCTGACCCTAACCCTGGAGGGGTATCTTTTTTAAGGAGACCATCTCTAGATGAACAACCGCAGCCAAGAACCAGGAGCCGATCATCTTTACAAAGAGGAAGAAAACCTATTGATAAATAAAAGTCAAATTGTTAATTTATCCTCACACAATCTATCCCTATGAGAAATACAAGTTCTACGGAGAGGTATGTCCTTTGTCCCAACACCAGAATTTAACAAGTTCTGTTGGACAAAGGACATACACCTCTTTGCACGCAAGTTAGCCCTACATAAATTCCACTGTATACAAAATGATAAACAAGATAAAAAACTAGGCCTAGACGCTAGGGATATGACTCTCCTAGACAACCTCGTTGATCTTAAAAGTAAAGATCCTTTATCCATACCAATCTTAGGAACAAACGTCAATTTACCCCACATATTTCTGAGCTCAAATACATTGATCTGTTTTTGGAACTCACTTGTGGCGAAATTGAAAAAATTAATGAGGAAGATCTGTCCTTCCAACACTATAACAACATGAACACTAATGAGAAAAGATTACTGAAACTGCTGAGGAATAATAATTCACTGATCATTAAACCATCTCATAAAGGAGGAAACATTGTTGTGATGGATTATTATTATTATTATTTTATTATTTATATAGCGCCAACAAATTCCGTAGCGCTGTACAATGGGTGGACTAACAGACACATAATTGAGATCAGACCACTGACGTACAGGAACAGAGGGGGTTGAGGGCCCTGCTCGATGAGCTTACATGCTAGAGGAAGTGGGGTATAGTGACACAAAGGGTTAAAGTAGGGGAATTAAATAGTTTGTTACAGAAGGGTTTATTGAGTGCTTGATACGTCATTTTTGACAGGTGCAGGAACGGAGTCATGGATAGGACCAACTATGTACAGATGGTACAAAGGTTATTGAATGACCATAGTACTTATCATATCTTGAAACCAGATCCAACGCAAAAATACTTTAGTGAACTTAAAAATATTTTAGATGGGGGGGCGGGGCCTGACCGCTGAGAGCAGAGGAAGCAAACTCGAAAAGCTCCTAGTCAGTGGTGCTAAATAATCGGATTTCAATAGCCAAAACGGGATCTGATCGGTCCAAAAGGGCCTCCATATGACAGGAGAAACCCAGGGGCACACAACGATGCCACACAAGGTACGATTCCGGATTATTGCACCTGTTCACCCCGTGAGGCCTATACATGTGGTCGGCGTGAGGGAGTGGAGACCGACAAGTGGAGACCAGACCCCTGTTCCCCCACCTATGGACCGGTGGGGGTTATCCCGGTCCACCCTCGGGAGACCCTGATACAGCCCGGTAAGACTGCAGTGGTGACACAGAGGCCTCCCTCAAGCGATGACACAGCACCCAAAATGGTGGAGGCGACGTGCTTTCCCAGCACTCACGGTGCACTGCCAGAGGTCGAGAATCAGCTGGACAGAGCCTTCCAAATCTTTTGGGAAAAGCTGGAGGCCCTTCTGTTCCCTACGGACCCAGAGGCTGTGCCGGAAACCAGGCTACACGCTCACCCACACCAGGTCAAGCGGGAGGAAGCACAGACTCCCCCGGCATTGAAACACCCAGGGGGTTGGAGGCAACGAGACAACCGCAAGCAGCGGGAGATCAGAGATCAGCCGGGCGGCAACACGAACACACCGACGGCCCTGCAGAACAAGAGAACAATCGCGCGGACGCACATCAACCCATCCTCACGCCAACTGGATAGCGGAGACCCAACACCAGGAGACCAGACCCACAACCCAGTAAGGTGCAGTGCGAATAATATGCACCACAAACCAAGCATGCCACTGCTGCAGCTAGCGCAGCTCGGACAGATCTCGGACACCCTGCCGGAACACTGCTCCAACCTTACCTGCCCCCACTCCTGCAGGATGCTGGGCCTGACACCGGGACTCTTATGGCAGAATTTAGTCTGGCTCCAATGGGGAATTGGCTGACCCTGCAGATAAGCAGAGGACTCTTCCATCCCTGGCAAGTAGTTCCAAGGGCACCCTTACCAGACTCAAAAGTTTTACAAACGCCTATTTTTACTTTTATCTTAATTTTTACAATTCTTGCCAGTAAAAGTAAAAAGCACAGGAACAGAACTGTATATAAACAGGGCCAGTGTACTAATTTTGCTTCCTGTATGCAAGCCCATTACATGACTCGCTAGTCTCAAAGCATAGCGGGTTAGGCATCTGTGCACATTAGTATTGCCTCATCATTTTTATTTGTACCATTATCGTTTATTTCCTTTTCTTTAAAAATATTTGGTTGCCGACCTATGCCTACAATCACACTACGGAACCAGAAGCGCACCAGGGGTTAACTCCGCTGCCAGCCTATACCAACCAATTGTAATCAACTCCTGTATAAAAGCTAGACTAAGCCTGTATTGCTCAGCTCATATGTTACTCTAAAATGCTTAAAATCAGCTAACTAGATATACCAGCAATGTTATCAGCTATGAGACAGAATTAGCAGTTAGACCCTCTATTGTTTACTACTCAAACTCTCTTTAAACATAAAAATTGTGCTAGATTTCTCATGTACCTCTATGTTCAAATGTCTCTAATGAGTTGGAGGAATGCCTTTGGGGTACCTCACAACCATCTGTTAAAAACTTAAGCACTACAAAAATAAAGAATTAAAAAATATATATATTTTAGATGAGGCTCTCGCATCTTCAATAATCACTAAAGAGCAATATAAGTTCATGTTAGTTAAAAAACCCACTACTGCAACTTTCTATTCACTACCAAAGATCCACAAATAACAACCACTATTGACTGGTAGACCTATTGTATCCGGTAGGAATAATTTAACACAAAACAGCAGCGTATACATTGAGCACATTTTGAGAAATCTAGTGAAGACACTTCCATCTCACTTGAGAGACACAAAACAAACTCTCAATGTGCTTGCTAGTCTCACTATACCAAGCTATGCAACACTGTGCAGTTTAGATGTGGAAGGTTTGTACAGTTCAATTCCCCATCAAGTTGGTATCAAACACGTGACAGCCTTTCTTCTAACACGAGACCCCTCACTAAGGGAGCATAACAACTTCGTGGCACAATTACTTTCCTTTATTTTGATCCACAATTATTTCCTATTTGAAGTAAAATACTACCACCGTATGAGGGGGACAGCTATGGGGACAACTTGTGCCCCTTCATATGCCAACCTTCACCTGGGTTGGTGGTAACAAAATATCATGTTCAACACAAAAATGGAACAATACACTAAATATGTTAAATCGTGGAAAAGGTTCATAGACGACATACTGATTATTTCAACGGGCACAAGAGAAACCTTTAAAAACTTTGTAGATGAGCTGAACATTAATGACTGTGGCGAAACCAACCTCGCCACTGTGAACTGGAGAAGCCTGGTTGCTCGCCTGCTCCCTTTGGACTATGGCCCTGCAGGTTAAACCGTTTATTTCCCCTGCAGAAAGGCTTATTTGTGTGATCTGAGTGCCATTCATCTAATAATGTGCACTCAGATCCCAGCTATCTGGGGATATGTGAAATGTCTGTGTGTTATGTGTAAATGGGACTTTATGTATTTTAAAGTGTTTTGTGTCTTTTTGCAACCATGTGCTTAATGGAGTCTTGTGTCTATCCTGGGAGATAATTGAATTACTTATCTCCAGGATAGAAGACTCTGAAACTGGTTTGGGCCAGAAAGCCATGCTTCATTTAGTCACAAAGGACTTTCCCTTAACTTTTGAACCCCTGGTCTGATTCGTGCCATTTTTAAATATGTTGTTGCCCTGAATGGACTGATTATGAAAATGTATGTTTTATGTTTGTGACATGTATATTTTAGAAGTTATAAATATTGTGTAAAAACTGTATTCCTCTGCCGGTGATAATGAGATTACCCATTGTGTTCAGTAATCATATCACAGGCAGAGGGGAGGATTTTGTGTGGGAGTGTCTGGGTGTATTGCACGGATTGATTGGTTGTTTTGTAACGCCCTGTGGGCTGTACTATGTTTGTGGATTGGGAATAAAAGAGACTGTATGTGACAGTACAGGGAGTTCCTGTTTAACCCTCAAAGTGAAGTGTCGTCTCATTCTTGGGGGGAATTTGACTGTATGCCGATTGCCAGGAGTGTAAGCTGTTCGTAGGGCTTTTCCTGTTCGGCTGCTTCCAGGGTTCGTGTGTCTGCTGTTCGAGAGTTGGTGAATACGTGCAGTTTGGAGTTCGGGAGGTTGGTGATTGTATTAGCTGCTGGTCTATCTGGAAGGGGATTATCGCCTAAATGGTCTTTATCCCCTTGTGAGCGAAACGGTCCGTTACAATTGGTGGCAGCGGTGGGATCATTCCCACAGTCCAGAATGACAGCTACAAGGTAACACCATCCCCTGGACTTACAAATGGAGGGCAGCAGGGCAAGCATGGCACCCAGCTACACTCAGGAGCAGTATGACAGAGAATTTACCACGCGGATGGCTTTCTTTGGACCCAACCCCCCGGAGAGATGCGTGCAGTTCGTAAGGAGCCAGGTAGACGAGTACCTGCAGTTCATGGCAGATCCAGCCAAAGGTATCGGCCGCCC